CGTATATGTCAAATATCTTTTCATACAACATTGCACTGCTTGTCATGTCTAATTTGTATGGAACACTATTGTCACATCTTATATCTAAGGAACAACAATCTTCCACATGCATTTGGATGTATTTATATGTCCCGAATGGAGATATTGGCTTTTCAGAAACACAAAATTGCAATTTGAGCAGCTCTAAAGTGATGATTAGATTCCCTTTCCCGTTTTAGTTGATAATGATAGTCCTGGTATTGTCCGTAATTCTAATGTGAGTCCAACCAAAACTAGATAAAATGGAAAAATGCTCCCTAAGTACCACTATGTAACAAGATAGCACTGTTACTGTTGCAATCGATCCACATGTCAACATTCTCACCTAGGTGTTGTCAACAAAAACCTTTCCCGATTGACAAAACGTTTCGCTACTGACACTCGTCCTTCTATATGAATAAGGTGTAAATTCTATCATGGATTCATGATTTCCCATTGTCAAATTCGAGCAATATTGACAAAGTTTCAACCCAAAAAAGAAGAAAAACAATTTGACATGTGTCAAAAACACATTGATTGAAAGGAGGAGCTCATCCTCAATTTGAAGGAGCTAGGCTTTTTCCATATTGATATGGATGACCATTTGTTATACTATAGTTTTATGAAACATACTTCTCTCCTTACAATGTAAGTAGGAGCTCTTATATTCCTGCTAATAATAATGTGACGTTCGCATAAGTTTTTTTTTCTCTATATTTTTTATGAATTACTTTTACATATGTGTCAAACTGTGATTCGCATGAGAAAAGAATATCTCCTTACAAAGAAGGGGCAAGCAGTATCCTAGTTTTATTTAGCAGTAGAAGATATTTCCCAATAACCAACAAATTGGTAGTTTGCATTTTTCTTTCTCGCCAAAAACCAACAATAATATGTTATTCACAAATGCTTTGTCAGTTTCTATGTTGGCCACGCAGTCGCTTGTTATTCACTAATGCTTCTTCCTGGTAAGGCCCACAGGCAACAGCAGATCTTGCTATTCATAATGAGAAAAACTTAGTTGCAATCGGATAACACTATTTTGTTATTTTTTACCAATAATATTATATTACGTAAAAGTATTATCACACATGTTATAGTGTTATTGGCTGAAAATAATAAAATAGTGTTATTCCCGTTTAATGAGTCTTTCTCATTAACAATGTTCGATGCAAGGGATTGATTAAGACGAGTTTGAATGCGACCCTTCGTTCTTTTATTAACGAATCTTAAAAGTAATTGTTTTGATATATTCAATAAATTAAAAATTATAAAACTTGGCATACATCTCAAACAAGATGAAACCGAAGTTATAATTGTGACCTAAATAGAATGGAGTTATAAGTTTGGAATGCCATCCCATGCTCAGAACCGTTTAATTTTAAGGCTTTTTTTTTTTCTTTCAAGGAATATCAATGTAAAAAATGGGGCAAAGCGAAATAGTTTACTAATTTGATTATCAGCATTTTCGCATTTTCTTTTCAATTGACCCTTAAAGGAAAACCCAAAATATAGATATTTCCAATTGTTGAACTACTTTGTAGAGTATAGCCCTAGAAAATGTGTACATTTTTACTTTTATCTTTCAAATAAGGGCAAACTTACTAGAGGACTGACTCAACATATACAAATGTACAAAATGTAAACTTTTATTACACGTAACTATTATGGGCTCGTTTAGAAGTGATTCTAAATAGGCCAAAAAGTACTTTTAAGGAGAATCACTTCTCAATATAATCACTTGAAATGGTTTCATGTGATTATATGGAGAAGCACATGGGAGGTGCTTCTCCTCAAAAGTGATCATGACATATTCAGAATTACTCCCAAATGAAGTCAATAAGATTCACCCTTTTCTATAAGGTAAAGATTCATAACAACCACTTGTTTGTACTACACCACAACACTAATAAAGCTTTTTTCGTCTTAATACTTGCAACATTTAAAAAGAAAAAGAAAAATTGTTTCTGGCACACTATGCATGGTCTTCACAAGAGTATTTATATTTTTTTTACCCATAATGATAAATTGCTCAGTTGACTCAATATCCATGGTCACTTCCACACCCCAGAGAAAATTGGTAAAGAACAACTCATTACGAAACAAAATGAAAAGGGGGACAATTGGCATTTGGAATTAGATAGATTGTTGACATTGATTTGCAGATGGGGTGGAAAAGTTGACCAAATTTGACAAAAAGGTTTGCATTTGGAATTTTGGGGTTTGGACCACAAAAGATTTTGAAAGTAACCCCATATGAAAGATGGAAAAATGATGCTAAAAGGCACGAGAATGTCCACCTCACTGGACATTCATCTGTGTGAAGTCCACGTGAAGATGGCCCTTAGAAGGCCTATTTAGAGCAGCATTTATTTGACAATTTAGAATGTCTTTTCCGACTTAGATTAGAGGAAGATTGCCTGCATCATTCACACTTGGTAGGAACACAAGAAGTTTTCTTTGTGCTAGTTCTAAATCACATTTGCCAACGGATCCATAGCTCAATGGTAAGAGTGTTTACCTGCTTATCAATGGTCTCAAGTTCGAACCCTAATGACACCTCCCCTCCCCTTCCAAACTTCGACCAAAAAGATAAAAGTTGTAAATCAGGTCTATAACATTTCCTATAGAAACCATATAAGATACTGGGTCTAAAACCTACTACACTTGGCTGTGAATCGCAAGCACAAATTCAGATATATAACTTGTCTCATCAATGATTCAAAAAACAGCCTGACAACATAACATGTCCACCAAAAAATGAAGTGCTCTAACTCTACCATCCAATTACAAAACACTGTCTGCCACAAAAACGTACAAGTGCCCAATTCAAGTGGGGGCCGCCCCCTTGAGAGGCCATTTTCCAAACCAAGTTGTTGAATGAAATAACTCATAACCCCAATCCAAAAGGCATGTAAGTCTAAGAGCACTTGTAAAAATGTCTCCATCATAAGCATACCACAGAATAAGGTGAATCATAAACTGCTTTGCTGCAGTAAATTCAAATTTTACTAATGGAAATAACATAAATGCAACATTGAAAGTGATTTTCAAAGAGCAAAGAAACAAGGCCTAAACAATGAAAGGTGCAATGCACGAGCTGCATAAAATCTAAAGGCCATACTGAAGGTGATAGCAAGCAACAACCAAGACATGACCATTAAATATTTGGATAACATAACCCTAGATGGTGTGGATATTATGAGGTTGTTGATGGATGGAATATTATAGTCCAGAACCATCTCACATAAATCATAAATGCTAAATAAATTGGGAAAATTCCATGATTCTTAATTTTCAATATGCTAGTTGGCTAAAGCGGATGTCCTCTCCACTATGCACTCGAGTTCGAATCCCCCTCTCCGTAGTTTAGATTAGTTTAAAATAGAATATAGCTTGTTTAAAAAAAAATATATGCACAACTACAAATGCAACATCAATCTAACATGCACAAATGCACTCTGCATTGGTTTGGAAAGAGAGGAAAAAGAGAAAATGGCTGAGAATTGTTTCTGAAGAATTTCTAAAACAATTCAAATTACTTTTCAATCCTTTACCTTGGAAATTTTGCGATCACGAAAAACAATGAACCAAACCAATCTTCAAGTGCAGCTTGTGAATCTAAAAGTGAGTTCATTTTATGTCAGAGGTCAGAGTTGAAGCCCATACCTTAACACATGGAAGCACGTAAGCAAAAGCCTTGTGGAAATATTTTTCCCCAACAGCTAGAAGACAGCACATGACTTCGGCTCCACACACTTTTCTTTCAGTTACCCAAACAGTCCTTTTGGGTAAATTAGCAAGAACACAGGGCTGGTACATCGGACGGTCAGATGTTGTCCAGCTGACGGGCCCACTTGATGGTGACCATTGACCATCCTGATTAAGACCCACTTTTCTGTAGCTCAAAATAGGCCTTAATGATGCTGGGCCCAGTTCAAAAACAGGAAGACAACTCTAGTCAAGTCTAGGGCCCGAAAAGGACCCAGCATGCTAAAAGTCACGGACCAATGGGGTGTAGGGTACTATATAATCCGTGGTTAAAAATTTCCCCTCAGGGTGGAGCCCACTGAGAATAGGGAGCCCACTGGACTTGATGATGTTTTTAGGTGGGCCTAATCAATACATTATTAGTATCTTTTGATTGTACAAAGAAAGGCAGGCTGTTGTCAAGCTGCCTACAGTATGTCTGGTCTGTCAAGCTGATGAGTAGAGGACACTTGGGGTGAGAAAGCATGGGGCCCATTTTGATGCCTTTGTCATTTTGGTATGGAGCCTTCCAACTTTGCCAATTTCGGCTGGCCTGGACGCTCTAGAAATATCTAGCAATCTCTGAAAGCCCTAACAATACACATCAAAGTTTGGGTCTAACAACTAAAGCCCAAATCATTAATCATGGTAGCCCTCTAAAATATCACATAGGCTATTTCAACCTAGAACCTAGAATTACAAGCACCGAGTTTTCTCTGCATTACATGAGAAAATCTTAGGTGCAACCGGTGATAGAGAAGCTTTTCTCGCATTACAGGGCCTAGAGTTGTGGGGTGGTTAAAAGAGGAAGAAAGTTGCATTACAATAGATATAAGTTCAACATTTAGCTGAACACAAAACTTAAAGTTCAAACATTCACTAATAAGGCAGCAAGGATAGCAATGGTGCATGATTTGACACAACTAGGGTGTCCTATGAACTAGGAGTGTTGGAAGACAGGTTCTGCGGTCATTTTCTTCACATACAGAAATGTGTTGTGTGCAATTTTTTAGATGCATAGACTGACCATAAAAGATTCTACATCTGTGACTACACCTTAGCATGAAGCATTTTGTATAGAACACTCACTCTATTAGGGCAGATAATGAATGGATGAACATCGATATACTTTTAAAGCCATTAAACATTAAATGACATATCTGAACCTGGGTCATGATTAAAGTGCTCAAGACAATTGAATTAACAACTATACCATTAATCCCGAATATAAAGGAACAATCTACAAGGATTTCTCATATCTATCAATCACCAGGAACACTTCACATATCAAAACAACAAAGGGTATGACTGTTCACTGAATCATTCTACCGTCTGAGATCTAGATTGACTATTCCCCTGAGCTAGAATTCATCTTTTAGTAATACAGATAACAAACATGGAAAACGAACTTACAATGAATGGCTTTTATATAACTGTCAAGCAGTGATCAATCAAAATATATTCACAGCATGTTCCTCACTAGTCAAAGAGTTGAAAGCAGCTATTGTAATCCTGCAAATTAGGATTTGTTATCAGCATTCGATAAGTCACTGAGGGAGACAAGAGAAGCAACTACCGACCACAAATGTTGCTTCCAGATAAACTGATGAAGAAAGAAAATAGAAGGCTTAACAAAATCAATTTCAAGATGTTGAGTATCTTTTGGTGCTTATGGCACAAACAAAACTGTAGAGCTTTTTGAAGGGGTAGAACATTCCTAAAGGAGCACCAATTTTTAGATGGCACTTTTGAGTGGACAAAGAAAACTCTCTCTCACTCTTTTAAGAGCATAGCTGTGTGTGATGTCCTCATTGACATTATTTAAGAAAACCCTTCTTATCTTTGAAAAATAAATACCTCCCATGAACAATGAAATAGAAAAAATTTCACCAAGTGAAGAAAGTTAGATGCAAAATGAAAGGAATGAAAGCAAGTGTGCATCGAGTTTTCAGTGAACTTTGCATACTGCTTATACAAAATTATCCACATTTTCATCAATAAGCAAGTATTCCCCTTTATTTGATGTAAATCAGATTATTAAAATATTTGATTCAGGCTCTTGAAAGACAACCTATTGTAAAGAGGTGTTTATTACAATTTGATCGATAACAAGGAATCCTGTATGTTGAATAAGACACATTCACTAATGGATGGATATCACATTTCAGAAGCTTAATGTCCTTTCTTTTTTGTCCAGGGAGATGATCAAGTTCTTGGTAGAACTCAATAAATTCAAGTAAAAGATAATGAAACAAGATACCATGGTTGCGGGGTCATCAAGAAATCTTAAACACATCACCACTATATATAGAAAAACTTGTAAAAGTAATCAATATCATGATAAAAGAAATAGAGAAAACTCAGTTGAGAAACTTTTGCAAGCTAATATAAACAGAGGAATAAGTTAATCCTTCATGTTATCAGGTGCTAAACTATCTCAAATAAGTGAAAGATATGGGGTTTAGGAATATTATTCAAACTAGATTACAAAGCGTTGGTTCTAGAATTCTAGAAAAGAGGCACGAAGGTCAAATTCTTCAGATCCGGACCTCGGAAATAATATTCCAGAGATGAAAAGTCTATACCCAAACAGCAAGAAAAACTTAATTAGAAATAATGAAATAATAGATAAAGCAAAGAGCAAAATTCATTCCACTACAGAAGATAACAAAGACCTGTCTATTTATACAGTAAAGAACAAACCTGACGATGATGATAGCGAGGAGAGAAAAGTAGAAACCAAGTTTGACAAGCCGGCACTTCTTCTCAGTATTAAGAACCCTGAAGACTTCAGTGACATCAATAAGATGCTGCTGTTTTACAAACCTGAATTATAGGAACAGGATGGTTATGCAGTCAGGAATGCAAGTTCAACCCGGCCCCAACACAAACGTACCAACACTCCAAGACATGCATATGGGCACACATGTAATATGATGAACTATAAGCCAAAACGAAAGCGAAGTTCCATTCCTTCGTGTTTGACCACTCATTTTAACTACAACAGCATATCAAAAGTTATAATCATCACAAGACCAAAAACCAAAAACCGTCCCAAGTTGTCACTGCTAATAGCATGTAGCAGAAGAGATGTTTCCCAAATATATTTTAGTGTGTAGATGCGAATACACATACAAAAATTCCTACTATTAGGACAGGAAATCAGTGGAGAGGAACAACGATAATGGCTTTGGCTTTTTTGTTACATTTTGTGAAATTAAATACATCAATCCAATCAAAATTTCCAGATATGAGATCAATGAATTTTAAAGGAAAGAGCAAAGGCTATACGAGTTTCATTCATTCTTCCAAATGGTCATCCACAAATCACATCATGCCGATGTGAAGAGGACAGATAATGAAAATAAAGAGGCAAGTCAAAAGTAACAGAGTATGTCAAATCAGCGGATTATTGAATTCAAAAGAAAAAGCAATGCAGTTCAACCACATTCTCAAAGGCATAATATTGCAATGGTTGGTTACTATTTAGGACAGAAGTTGTTACCTTTAAATTCGATCATGGAAGTAATAAATGTTTTAGTCTATAGTTACACGCTACTTCTAGTTTTAAACACCTTAGCTTCTCATAAGCAAGATAGGCTTAGTGAATGGATCCTCATAAGCAAGGTCACTTTAATTCTTTCAATCAGACCAAGCCTAGTAAGGCTATTTGTCACAATTTCAAAATGGAAGAATTCCAATCATGTTCAAAAAGTTAACTAGATCTTGATTATCATTCCCATGTGCATTCATATGAGTTAACCAAATTGTATCACAAGCATTATATTGAGAAATAGCATTGCATAATTTTAACAATCTATTGCAATCATTTGCATATTTAAATGACAAGTAATACTTACAACATCACAATATAGCAAGTAATGGGGACTGTAATCAGGAACATGAACCAATGCTGTGTCAAGAGGAAAAGCGCACAGAAGACTATATGCACTACGAACTCAGGGACAACCAATTGATTGATGCGAGATGATAATTCGTAAGGGTTGATATAGTCAGCCTCCAAGTCCGTTAGCATCACATACTACAAAATACATATGAGAAGAAAAATTAAAGTTAATGGTGTTTCACTTCAACAGAAATATGAATTACATTAATGCTGCCAAGTACAAGCAACTATGCTACGGAAAATTCAGGCTATGAGAACGAAACTAGTAACATAAGAACAACATATCCTTATGAGCTCATTGTAGAAAAAGAGAACTAGTTCAACATAATCATCAACATTTTTTTACAACAGGCAGCATAAATTAAATTCACACAACCCCAGTGCTCCAACCCACAAATACAAAAAAGAATTTCTTCTATCTGTATCATAAAATTTCCACTCATTTTGTCTGTATTTATTCATATTAATAACTAGTAATGTGAGGCAGTCTCCTTATGTCAAGTTGTCTAAATTCTAGCTCTAAAACTAAAAAGAAAAACAGAGCCATTGATTAGCAAAAGTATGCAATCCGAATGCATAGCAACAATGAACCGCTGTTTGGAAGCAGAGAAACCAGTAGGAAACTAAGACGGAAAGTTTCAAAACCCTCAAAAATGTCCATTTGCCCATGAAAATTCAGCCAAGTACCTTACCGATCTCAGTAAAGCTCTTCGTTTCAGCATTAACAAAACAAAGCCAAAAGGCTCAAGAAAAGAAAAATTAAGAAAAAGGAGAAGCAACGTTGCTAGGGTTTAAAAGTGGCGACATTATTAGGGTTTTAGAGATTAATGATAAAATACCTGGTAAAGGCTTGAGGCGAAGAGGGCAAGGTCGATGCAGAAGCAGATAAGCCAATAGATCAAATCCCAAGCCATGCTCGACGAGTCGACGACACCACGGAGACGGAGGTTTGGAGAGTATTGAGTAGGGGATTCTAGTCTCTCTATGGTACTGTTCTCAAGTTATGCGCCATTTTCAATTGGCCTTTTTCAAATTACTCTTAAAAAATTTTGACAATAAAGAAATACTGTCTAACCCGGTTTGGTTTACGGAACGGATTTGAGGATAAATCACTTCCATGTCATTTTTCAAGGGATGAGAAATGAAAGATTCATTTCTCAGGTTTGGTAATACCAGGAAAATAATCGGAAGATATCATTTTATTTTCTTTCTCATATTCGTTTTGAGTAGGAATGAAAACGAAGTTTGTATAATTTTCCAATAATACCCATATTAAATCAAATAAAAAAAAGAATTTATTTAATGATATATTGTAATTTTAAATTATTAATGGGGACAAAATGGTCATAAAAAATGTGCATTTAATGTTGGCTCATTTTTCCAAACTTTTCCATAGGGAGGAAAAATAAAACTCAAGTTAAGAGGAGGGCTTCACTTTCCCGCCTACTTTCTCACGTGCCTGGCAATCATTTTCCATGCCTGGACTTACCAAACATGGTAAAACAATTGATTTCTCATCCCCAAACTTTATTTCCCATGAACCACCTCAAAGTCTAGAAAATAATACTTTGTATCTCCTTAATTTCCAAGTAATATGCAAACATCAATACCGCTGGTAGATGGCAGCTGATAGTTGGGTGCCACGAGTAAAAGTCTTTCCACCTCGAGGTTGTGGATCAGCTCTAGCACTAGTGGTGAGAGTTAAATTTTAGTTCATCCAAAAAAAAATATATGCAAGGAAGTTTATAGTTCAATTAATTAAGGAAGTTTATAGTTCAATTAATTAAGAGTAATCATTCATTTCTTAAGGTCTCAGTTCGATTTTTCTTTCAGTTATATCATTTATACTGGAGATAAAAATATGGAGCTGATTTTCCCACTCCTCTTTTATCCACTTACACTCCCTTTGTTGAAAATTGTACACTCTCACTCCTCTTTTGTCCACTTACATTTCCTTTTTTATTATAGTAAAAAATATTAAAAAAATAAAATGGAGTGTAAGGGTTAGTTTGACATTGTTGTGCTATGAAAATAATCACTGTCAGATTTGCTGTAAGAAAAATCAGCTGTGAGAGAAACCAATTTGGTATTTGGTAAACTTTTTGTTAAAAGTGTTGTTGGTACCGAATGCGGCATAATCATTAAACTCAGCGCCTCTTCGAAACTGATTTCTGCATAATCAAAAAATGAAAGCACCTCATTAGATGTTTTCCCTTATAGCTTTCTTTCACAACAATTTTTAACAATAAGTGATTTTCTCATAGTTTACCAAACGGGCTGGGCTTCCCAAATTTTTTTTTAAATTATTATCGTCCTAAATAAGCAATGCCAAACAGGCACTAAGTATTAAAAATATTATTTGAAAAAGTTTCCTTTCCTTCTTGTATTCCTTTCCCCTCCTTATTGGAAAGGTGTTAATCCTTCTTCTTTTTTGGGTTGAAATCAAGTTTCATTAGCACAGCAAGTTAAGCCGGTTATATCAAAATGACTCAAAAAATGAGCTCAAACAAATGCAACACAAAAGACATAAAATCCACAACAGCAGTAAAACTCACAAAATACATAGAAATACCTCAAAGGAGCATGAAGAAATCCCCTTATAGTGTGTGGTAAGAGATACGTAGAGAAGAAGAGAGTTACCTTGTGTAGAGGTGGTCTGAGATGGTGGTGACTCTCTTTGTAGGGAAAATTCGATGAGATATGGAGGTGGTTGGAGGTGGCAGTTGTTTGTAGTAAAAATTAGTCAAATTTTTAATACAACGTCAAAATGGTATGAAATTAAAATGTTATTAAATATAATAATTATTTTTCTTTGTTTGGAAAATTTTAATTATTTTAAAAATGTGAAGACATCAAATAATGGATTATGGTAATGTATAGGTAATTTTTTTTGCTGGACATTCGATCACTACATTTTTTGTCAAAGACTTCTAGATGCTGCTAGAGAATAACCAATAATACTCCTAATGACACCCTCACCCATTTATTCCCAGCAACGAACAAGTGGCACGATGAGCCTTGGGCTCTTTCAACAAACATCTATTGGTCTAAACATTTGCCTTCAACTAGAGCAACAACAATACTAAATTGAAGACAAACAATAATAATGCACAACCATATACATATGATATCCAAACATACTAGTTTATATCCATATGATATCCACCATGAAGTTCAACAAACTCGGTCATCACTTTCAGGGAGAAGTCGTTGAGATAGAGATCTACGTCCTGCATTAGCTACAATAATTTTAGTATAACTATATTAATATTTAAAAAAATCCACAACAAAATGTAGGGTTTCTGTATAATTGAATTCTACTTGTAAATTAATCAAACTAGTATTGCTTAGAGAAATTGCCTTAGGATTGTTGTAAGGCATGAGGCCATATGGTTTGGTAGTTTAAATTGCTTGAATATAACTCAATACATGTTGAACGTTTGGGGATCTATAAATGTTTGTTTGACAGGTGAGAAATTTTGGGAAAATGACTAGTTACAAGGGAAACTCTGCTAAATTTTTGGTAGAAGTCAACCTTGAGGTCAACTTGAAATAAATTTTGTTTTGGTTAGATGGGCAATTTGGTCAAGTGTGCTCGGCACTTGCCAAGTGTCGGACACTCATAGGGTTCGGCTCAAATTCCACTTTGAGTTAGGTCCTTTCAAAAAATATCCCAAATTTTTATCAAGAAAAAAGAAAATGTCCCAAAACCCCAAAAGTGAAAAAAAATAATAATAATAAAAAATTCCCAAAAAAGGAGGAGTTCAACAAAAAAAAAAAAATTAATAAGAAAAAAGAATGAAACGAAAACCTCCACAAAACCCTCTTTCCGGTTCATCTAACGGCTCTAAGAACTGAGATACGTACAATAATTTACCGCTCTTTCAAGCAAGACTATCAGTGAACAAGCAGATGTAAACGCTCAAACGCCATGAAGCTGCAATCTTTGAATAAAGGATATGCAATCCGAACTCTCAGTCCCAAACCCAATGGCTCCGCAAAGCCGAAAATCTCAAAAACCATTCGATCATGCGCTACAAAACAGGACCTTCGAGGCCAATCCGTCGCTGTGAGCTATTTCATTCCCTTCTCTTATTGCTTTGAGTCATTGCACTTCCATACGCCAACCAAAGTTGGTTTTTGCAGATTATCGGTTTGGGAAAATCTGGGAGAGCTGCTGCCAGGCTTGCTCTGGCCAGAGGTGCTTCAGTTTTAGCCTTTGACCAGAATCCGAATTTTGGTCTTTTAGAGGTATTCCCATGAATCCATTGTTCCATTTGTAACTGGGTTTACATCATAAACAAGGAAAGTCATGCATAGTTTTAGTAGTTAAAGTGCTAATTTTTTTGCAGCAAGATCCGGTTTTTGAGAGGCTTGGTAATGATAATGGTGGATTGAGGACAATTTTGGGTCAATTTGATGGAGAGCTACTTGATAATGCGGACAGGGTGGTCGTGTCCCCTGGAGTTCCCCTACAAAACTATGGTCTTTCCTCTTTGTTGCATTTGGTGAGTAGTAGTGTTTATAAGTTATATGTTAATTGGCAGTGATTTAAATATTTTGAGAATACAAAAATCTTTTTTTCTACTATTCTTGAGATATTGTCATTTTTTTTTTGTTGGTGAACATTTTGGTGTTTTTTTTTCCTGTCAAAATGCAGGGAAAGCAGGTGATGTCTGAGTTGGATTTTGCTGCCGAAATTCTCCCAAAAAGTATCAAGATTTTAGCAGTGACAGGGACTAATGGAAAATCAACTGTTGTCACTTTTGCTGGACAGGTTACACATCTTTTTTTAATGCTTATTCATGGTAATTTTAGTAGTAAATGTCTTATATTGTTGCTGATGGCAACATAATCTGAACCAAATTGCTGTTTGAATGAATTCCTTAATCGAAGCCCAAATGAAAAATGACCAATGAGAAAAAAGAAGTGCTGATGTTTTGTGAAATTCACTACTTATCAACCAAAATATGCTCCCCCAATACCCAAATTCCAAAAAATGGATGAATAATTAAAACTGAAAAAAATGCATGTATAATTTATAAAATTTAAGATAAAGCTGTCTTTAGAATTGCTTCCAACTTGTATTGCTTTCAATTGACATAATTTCCTGTCTGTTGCCTATAGAAGCTGCGTATCCATGTAAAGTATCTTGAAATTGCTAGGATAAATCTATTTTCTTAAATCATGAATTTATCCGGTTGTAAAATGGAGTTCCACATTCTATCAATTAATATTCTTTTACTCATTTGAAGGTAGATGCTTAGCCATTTTGGCATCGAGACATTTGTGGGGGGTAACCTTGGGAGTCCACTCTCAGAGGCTGCTTTCCAATGCTTACAGCCACATTCTTTAAAACCCAAGTTTAAGGTAAGTCCAATTGTTTGGTTTGCATTCTCTTCCGGTGCCATATTATTTATGAAAGTGACTTTTGCAATAGCATAGTTGAAAATAATTGATCAACTATGAATTTGTTTGGTCAACTTGAAAGTGTTTGATGCCCAGAGGAGACATGTCATAGGCATATAAAGATGTTGCTACATTTTTCCAGGTTGCAGTTGTGGAGGTTAGCAGTTATCAAATGGAGATTCCTAACAAATGTTTCTGCCCTTCCGTAAGTGGTCTTTGAAAGTTCGCTTTGTTTTGGCCCTGTCAGCTTCAGTAGTGTTTCATAGTTTCCTCTTCCAATACTATTGGCTTTTTTTGTAGGTTGCTGTGGTGTTGAACCTTACACCTGATCATCTAGAAAGGCACAGCACAATGAGAGATTATGCAGTGATTAAATGCCGGTTATTTCTTCACATGACTGATGCCAAGCTTGGGCTTCTTTGTCTTGGTATGTACTTTTCATTTTCTGGGTAAATGTACCTTGGCATCTAAAGCATTTGTCTGAAATTATAACTGACATCACTTGTTTGTATTTCCCCCCCTATTCCAGTTTTCTTAATAAGATTTACTTCCTTTTAGATATGGGAAAAAGTTGAGAGCATGCAAGAAAAGAGAGCTCGTATGGTTGGGTTGGACATTGCATCGAAGGCATAATGGTTAAAC